CACCTGGCTGCTTCTTGCTCTGACTGAGGGCTGCTGGGAGCAGGGGGTGTGGCTTGTTGCATGTGCCCGCCCCCTGGGCTCTTTACTGCCGGAGCTCCGCTCCTGTGCGCTCCTGCAGGAAATGACCCCTGATTTTTTTCTTTGCTAAGATAAAGGCTGAGTCAAACAGCTAACTGACAGGATAACTGCCCAGAGATCCAGGTTTGCTAGTCTCTGGACATCACACTTCCATTTCAGGACCAAACAGGTCGTCCTGGAAGATAGTTTCAGGTGGGTGGCTATGTTGGTCTAGAGTAGAAGAGCACGATTCAAGTCCAGTAGCACCTTAGAGGTCAACTATATTCCAGGGTATAAGCTTTGAACAATCACAGCTCCCTGGTATCTGATAAAGGGAACTTTTGACTCTCAAAAGCTTATACCCCGGAACTCTTGTCTGTAAGGTACTAGTGGACTCGAATCTTCTGGGAAGAGCTATCGTGTGGTTGATTCGAAATCATATAGGTAAAGGTTCCCCTTGCTGAACGCCAGTCGAATCTGACTCTAGGGATGTGGTGCTCATCTCCGTTTCCAAGCCGAAGAGCCAGCGCTGTCCAAAGACATTTCCGTGGTCATGTGGCCGGCATGACTAGACGCTGAGGCGCACGGAACACTGTTACCTTCCCACCGAAGTGGTACCTGTTTATCTACTTGCAATTTCTTGCTTTTGAACTGCTAGGTTGGCAGGAGCTGGGACCAGAGACGGGAGCTCACTCCGTCATGCAGCACCCGGGTCTCGAACTGCTGAACTACCGACCTTCCAGTCTGCAGTTCAGCGCCTTAACCACTTGAGCCATCGCAGCCTCCTTCATATAAGCCTCCCTTAATTCTTTGGAGAATTCAGCTGCGTGACGCTGGGACCATATTTCCCCACATGCCAACTGCCAGTCATCAACTTGCCACCTTCCGTTTGTTCCTTGGTTAAAGGTCGGCCTTCCTGGCATCAGCGAGGGGCCATGCTTTTTCCTGTGGTCGCTCTTAATTGAGCTTTTAATGGAGTCTAGGTGGTTGTCAGCATTTTAATTGTGTGTTATGAGGCTTTACGAGGTTATATGAGGTGGGGACGGGAATTGTTATACAATGATTTAAAGCTGGCCTGTAGCTATGGCGAGGCTATTTGGAGCTCTGCCCCCTTCCTTAAAGGCACAGCTCCACAAGATTTTCTTCTGGAAATGCTTTTAAAATTATTTTGAAAACATTTTTTAAAAGCCAAACAGACCCCAGAATCCCCAACAAAGACTTCAGAAGACTTTTTAAAAAAGAAGTGAGAATCCCTGACAAGAAGCCACCACCACAGCGCTGCCTACTCTGCCCTCCTTTCTCTCCTCCCCCTCCCAAAGATCCCCCCTCCGACCTGAGTCCCCTCCTCCCTTTTCGGACACTCACAACCTGGTTGGGGGCCGCTCTTGGCAAGGCCTCCCTGGTGCCCTTCCCTCCCAAGGGGTAAAGCCTGCGGCTGCAACCCCCATGATGTGATGGGCACTTCCTCTGACGGACTGCTGCCCTCTTTGCGCTTCCTCAGGAGTAAGCGCCCTGGAGCTCAGCTAGGGCCGTCTCCCATCCATGTCCAGCCTGAACCGGACTTGGGATCAATGATCCCCTCCAGCTCCCCTCCCAACTGTATTTCTATTTATTTTGCTGCCTCTCCTCGTTTCCTCCCCCCCCCCAGAGCTTACCTTACCAGCCTCCCCTTCTCTCTCCCTCCCCCTCTCTCTCTCTGAGGATGCTGACTTAGAACTCACACATTTTCCCCCACCTTCTCTCTCCCTTCCCTACAAAAAAACCTACCGGGAGGGGGGGACACACGCAAGGGAATGGTTTGCAGCATCTCTGAATGCACAGGGGGCGTTCATCCCTCGGCCTCTTCACTACCCCATGCCCCCTTAAAAATCTAAATGCCCCCCCCCCATCCCAGCTACTGGCCTGATTTAAAATATGTATTGTAAGTCACCTTGCGTCATGCAAAAAGTTGAATATAAATGTTTACAGAAAAAATTCAGAATGTCCTAGCAACCAGACACAACCAGAAACCAGCTGGAATGCAAGAAAGATAGTAAATAACACTCAGAATAAAGGAATAAATAAATGAAGGAAAGGAGTCATTTGCTAAGCAACCACAAATTGTTCTCTTCCTTTTTTAGAGCTAGCTATGCAAAGCTAAAGTGGCGGTGCAGACATGAAGAGTGGGACACCTGTCAGGTATAGACTGGATCCAGCCTCATGCCCAATCCACACATCACAGACTACACATGTTGAGTCTGGGGTTCCCACTATGTGTAACGCTCAGACATGAGCTGTGGGTGCTCCTTAACTCCTGAGTGCCTGGTGCTGGGATACGTGGTTTTCCCCAGTGTGGGCTAAATAGCATCCCAGGATCATTTCAGGTTGGGAAAACCAGGGAGGAGGGGAGGCTGAAGCCCCTTCTCTACATGCACGGTGGTCCTGATCTGAATCATGCACCCCATGCGCAGGAATTTAGGAGAAACTGGAATTCATGCCTGACTGTTACAGAGTGTGGGCATGAATCAAGCTCTGTAGTCTTGTAATGTGTGAATCCCTCTACTCATTCAGCAGAATGCTATGGTACAATGGATTATACAGCTTCAGATGGACTACTGGTAGATGTCACTTTTGAAATCCCCCTGTATAAAAAACCTCCAATGCAAATATAAAATCTGGACATCAAAAGCTAACTCTTCTTTTAAACCTTTTAACTAACGGTATCAATTTAGTTTGCTAGCTTGAGAATTGCTTTATCAATACCATTTTAGACTGCTTTATTTTACGTGCTTTTATTGCCCACACTTGCCTTTATTGGCTGTTTTTATTGGCATTTTTAACGGTTGGGAGTTCTGTTATTAACTCAGATTGTTTTATTGATATATTTTTATGGGTGTGATTGGTTTTTAATTGTCTGCATGCTTGGTGTCGTTCTACTGCTGAGAGCTACCTCAAGCAGGTCTGGAGAGATGGCACACACATTTTTCTCAAGAAATAAAAGTCTTATTGTGCTCTTCTTCCTTTTTGCAGGGATTTTAAAAAATAAAAAATGTGATTTCCCACCTGCTGTTGGAAGTGGTGCAGTCCCTTTTGCCCCTTCATCTTTCTATCACCTCATTCTACAGAATAAATTCTGCTGCACAAAGCAACATTACTGTGTGAACCTGAAGCTTATACCTAAGGTTGGTAGGGCCAAGCTCCACAATGTAGTTAATATGTGCTAGGTCACAGGTGTGCAACCAGACTCACAGTCAGGCACACATTGGAGGAACTCGCCTCAAAAAGCATGTGTTCACTCAGCGCTGCAAGGTAGCACTGCAAGAGCGGGGGCAGCTTCCTGTTTTCCCTCCCTCCTACTTTTACTTCTGGTTTGTGTCGGGGCTTTTTCTTGCTTCTGCATTTGTTTTACAGGAATCTGCATTCAGACCGCTTCCAGCACACTGTTGCCCCGCAGTTTCCAAAACTCCTTTTGCTGCGATTCTTTGTTCTCATCTGCTTTTGAATCGCTAATCCTTTCTAAAGTAGAACTGTTTCTGCAGGTATTTAAGGGCTGCCCACTGCCCCTCCCCTGTTTCCGCCTCTGTCTCTTTAGGCTGACTGTCCCTCCCCATTCTGTTTTTTGTTTTCTTTCCCTCCTTCTCCAAACACCAAAAAAGATGTGTCCTTCTGTTCAGGCAAATGTTTAAAAAGCCGGAGAGAACATTTAAAAAAATTATTATTATATTTTTATCCCACCCTCCCCGCGAATGGGCTCAGGGTGGCTAAGACAAGGGCACTATGTGCCAAGTATAAAACATTAAAAAACATAAAAACATAAGAAGGAATCAGTAAATATAAAGGACTAGGGGATTCCCTGCTCCCAAATGTGTCAGTCTTGCTTGTGTGGGTCTGGATTTCCTCCTCCCTTCCCTTTCTTTTTGCAGAATCACGGAGGGAGGGAGGGAGGAAGGGATTGTATCTGCAGAATGTATACAGAATACACAAATAAATAAACTGGAGGAGGAAAAACCAGTGTAGAGGGAATGTATGCGACTGCGAAGTCAACCCTTAAGGCTTGACTCCTTGGATTCTCCGGAGCAAGTTGTCAGTGCAGAAAGGGCCTCAGTCAAGCAGTTGTATTTGTATTTAATATATCTTTGCAAGATTTCTAACGCTCTTTGGGTTCTGCTTCCTGCTCCTCTCCCCCCTTCTCTGCCAAGCAGCTCAGACTCACCAGGTGCATCAGGAGAGGAGTTGCCAACCATGAAAGCATCCGAGAGGCCGGCTTTGACAGGGTGTTGCGTGGAGCTAATTTCCAAGACCGACATGGGGATCTGGAGCCAGGAAAGGTGAAAAGGCTTTTGAATATACCAGCAGCAGAGTTACATAAAGGTCAAGAGATCTTCTGCTTTCCTCCCACTCTGAGGATCTTTCCTCCTCAGTGGTTGGATTTGGACGGTAGCAGGTGGTAATAGTCTGGAGACCCATCCTTGTCTTTCATTCTGTACCTCAGATCTGGACCGCTTACCTCCTTGTAGCCAAAGACAATTCTGCCATCAATGTGCAAAGCTGCTTGGAAGATGAAGCAGCCTTTGTCTTCCTTCCCTTCCAGATATACTTGGTCCCACTGAACAACAAAGACTGTCCCTATGGGGAGAAAAGAAGGGACATGGAAACTGAACGTTCATGGAAAGAACTCAGAGACCACCTATTATAAAGCCCTCACAATCAGAAGGCAGGGCCGTGCAATCTTCCACAGACCACCATATTCAGTTTAGAAAGACAGTGTTCCCTAGTGGTTGTGTCGGACGGAAGAAACCCAATTTCAGATCCCTTGGGCCTGATGGTGTCTTGGGGTGGGGCCTGGTGATGTCACAGGATGGAGTCTGGTTCAGCGCACTTAGATGTGGTCATCATGGTCCTTTCTGGCCGACTTAACCTTTGGATTTGTTGCACCCCTGGATGAAAAACTTTAGTGTTTACAGAGCAAAATATCTCTGGATGCCTCAAGGAATTGACCCAAATAAGACACTGGTTTGGAACCAGACTATATTTTCCAATGGCAGACTGGACCTTTCCTGCCTCCCCTCTCACACTGCAGCTCACTGATCTCCATGAAATGCTGCTCTTAGGAGACAGAGAACCCCAAAAGAATTACATGCAGCAGGAAGGAGAAATTGGTGGATACTGGCCAAAGAAGGTTGCCAGCTCTGGGCTGGGAAATACCTGGAGATTTTGGTGGGTGGAGCCTGGGAGGGGTGGAGTTTGGGGAGGACAGGGACCTCAGTGGGTATAATTCCATACAGACTATCCTCCAAAGCAGACATTTTCTCCAGGGGAACTGATCTCTGTCACCTGGAGACCAGTTGTAATTCTGGGAGATCTCCAGCCACCACCTGCAGACTGGCAACCCTACCACTTTAGACTGCCTCCAACCCACGAGGTGGGAAGGAACATGAAGATGCACCTTGGAACACTGGCCAGTCTGACCTGAGAGAAGATCCCTCCCAGCCCCACAGATGTCCTTGTGCAAGACCCTGCACATGAGCATCACATTCCACAGAGGGTTTTACTGGGACCAGAACTATTTTTCCCTTGGTTTCCTGGAGAGTAATTCTAAGAGTTTCCCCCCTTACCATTGATTAGCCACAGCCAAGCCAATCTAGCTACGGTCCAGCACATTGTCACTGTAAAAAGATGTCCCAGTGTGAGCTATGGTGCACAATGAACTTTTGGTTCAGTGGTGCACGTGATATTTTGCAACCATCCACTCGCACTGGTATGTTTGTACATAAATATGTCAATTGTGTAAAAGATTCTGTTCTTTTGCAGCAAGAATATTTCGAAAAAGATTTTTTTGGGGGGGTGAGGGACTTGCATCCAAATAATGTCAGAGAGACAGTAATCCTGGTAACAACTATTCTCAACATGGCTCCAACCATATCATAAGCACACATGCTTATGTGCTATATACAACAGCTGTGGTAGCTAGTCCTCATCCATTCCCCTGCCCTAAGAACCAAGTCGCAATCATACACCCTGCAACTGTCATGCAACTCTCTAAAATGTAGGCCACAAATCACACACCACCCACTTAACCACAAGAGCGTATAACGATGACATTTAGGTCTTCTATGTCATCTTAATTGAAACCTGACACATTGGCTGCCTTCCAGTACTGAACCTCCACCAAACAGATCTTGAGCAGGGATAACAAAGGCAATATATGTTTGTTCTTGTTCTTGACTTAGTTTGCTATTAATAGCTGTGGAGGAACTATGTGGATAATTTGTTTGAATCTTGGGTTGGATCCAGGCTGCTTTTTCATTCAGTGTCACCCAGTTCTCATTCTTACTTCAGGTCTTATGAAGGCCACCACAATCTCTCTTTTTCCCCAGCAGAAAAACTGGTTGGATCCATCCCCTTGTTTTGGAAAACAGTATAAATGATGAGGGAAATATGAATAAGGATTTGTTCCAAACTGCTTATGCCTGTGGTAAAGACAGGTGCATGAATGGGAAGGACCCCCAGGAATTCTCACCATTGTCGAAGTATTTGATGGTGGAATTAGGGGAGTAGCTGGGGTTGAAGTTTGCCATAAGAGGAGCAACGTATTGTGTGGCTGTCAGCATCTGGTGAATGACATCACCCATGAAGATGAACCCTGGCAGGAAACCAAAGAAGGAACAAGTTAATGTCCATATTACATTACATGTATACAGATTCAGGTGAGGTAACCATGTTGGTCTGAAGCAGCAGAACAAAGTCTGAGTCCGCTAAGTCCTTTAAGACAAAGTTTTATTCACGGTATAAGCTTTCGTGTGCAAGCAAACTTTGTCAGATACCATATGTACGTAAGTGCTGTCAAGTCACAATTTGTGGTGGCCCCAGCAATAGGCTTTCAAGGCAGGTGAAAAGCAGTGGTGGTTCACCATAGCCTTCCTCTGCAGAGCCTTCCTTGATGGTCTTCCATGAAGTACTGACCCTGCTTAGCTTCTGAGACCTGATGAGATTGGGCTATACCAGAGGTGTCGAACTCATTTGATATGAGGGCTGGATTTGACATAAATGAGACCTTGTTGGGCGGGGGCACGTCTGCCATAAAATGTAAAGTCAGGTAGCGGAGATATAAACTTTATAAAGGAAACAAACACAAAGGTGTTTTTTTTTACCTAAAATAAAAACATGCTTAAAACATTAGCACTCTTGCAATATTTTGTTTATTTAACAGTGTCTGATAACTGACACCTCTTGCTCTGAATTATTGCCTCAAAATGTCTGTGCTATTGCAATCTTGAGTATGGTGTTCAGGTGTGTATCTGTAAGCTGCAAAGCTACAATGACACAGCAGCAGCAGAGCTGGAAGCAGAAGCAGAAGATAGCCAGTTCCACTGCGGGCCTGATAGAAGCCCTCTGGGGGCCTAATTCGGCCCCCGGGCTGCCTGTTTGATACCCCTTGGCTATACCATGCTACCTTCCTTCCCTGTTCCATAATACTTTACCATTGTCTCCTATAGCCATTTGGTTGGTCCAATCTGCTAATTCCATATTACATTACTATTGTCCCTTATAGGCATTTGGTTGGTCCAATCTGCTAATTCCACTGCCTTCTTCCTCAGCAATGCCTGGATCATAACACACTTTTCCAGTATGCAAATCAAGGAGGTCATTAAAACAATGGCACAGCAATTTATATTTTATTTAAATCCCACAGAAGAACTCAAGGTGGCTTACCTAGTATTTTTAGGAGATGTCCCATCCACACATTGACCAGACCCTACTTAGGTCTGCTCTTATCCACCCATCTTTGTGTGATGGGGTATTAGCTCCTTCTTATCTACATATGATCACAGAAGAAGCTGGCACTGAGCAGGCCACAGGCTGGCATGGATTCTCCCACTGAAGATGCTGTCTGCCCCCTACCCAGGACCAAGCATGGAGCCTGGGAAATGGGTGCACTTTACTGGGCCCAAGGGAACCTGCCTGGGCTACAACCCATGTTCATATACGGTCAGTTTATGATATTTTAGAACTAAAAGAGAAATTTTGAGGAAGGGATGGGATAGTGGGAGTACACTGGGTGATTTGGTCCCCTGTGTATGGCATGTTCTGTCCATAGAAGTTCACCTGGCACCTATGCAGTTAGGTACCAGGTTAAGACAATTGTTATCTTCCAAGTACCTTCCCTGTTTTTCAGCTGCCCTGGTAATTTTATTAATCTTTGGCCCATATGCTGTTTTGTTGTTTTAATTTAGCTGGACCTATTTATTTATTTGTTTGTCCAAGTATTTTATACTGATTTTGGTCATGTTTTGGTTTGGGAGGTTTTTATGCTGTTTAGTTGTTATTTTCTTTGCTTTTATGCTGGTTTGTGTGTTTGTCATGATTGATGATTTCAGGCTCACACCAGAGGGTCCCTCGGTCACTCTTCTTGCTCTCATTTCAGGAAGGGGAGAAAGAACACCTGGTTTTGGTGGCAGCAGGCAACAGTGTGGTAGGGCGAGGCTTTAATTTCCTGCCCTCTTTCAAAGTAGCCTATTATTAATAATACTTAAAGGCCACACGTTTTGGTGGAAAGAATGGAGATGGCCCACAGCACATGTATCCACAACATCAATGCCACGCTGTTTCTGAAGCCATTGCACCGTCTGTAGAACCACCCACCTGTTTTCTCTAAACCTTTAAAAACATCATCCCTTATACCCAATGTGGTAACCAGTGAGGCTTACCTCCTGTTGCTATGGTAACGTGCCACAGGTGATGCCCATAAAAGGGGAAGGCAAATGATAGGGTGACTCTCTGTGGGAAGATAGATGGGAATAACAGCATGAAGGCAGGAAGTGTGCTGGGTGATGTGTCAGCTATGTTCATGTTCACATATTCTCAAAAGGATCCAGGGCTCTTTTTGTAGCAGGAACTCCTTTGCATATTAGGTGACACACCCCTAATGTAGCCAATCCTCTTACAGAGCTCTTCTTACAGGGGCTACTGTAAGCTCTTGGAGGATTGACTACATTAGGGGTGTGTCGCCAAATATGCAAAGGAGTTCCTGCTCAAGACCAAACTGTGCTTGAAAAATAAATCCAGATTCTGTACAAAGGCAGGTCAAGTTCAGACTGAATTTTGCAAATTAAGCCATCAATACATCTAATTCTCAATGTGGCCAAATCTGTGGACACTTAAATCTGGAGACTGGAGCCCTTAACAGACAAGGCAGATATTTGTACAAGCTTGAAAAAAGCCCCAAGTTTGCAAAAAGATCTGAAATCTTAAATAACAAAAATAAATGGGGTTAAACCATCACCAAAAATAATAGCAACAGTGCCTGTAACTTTAAGACACAAATGCCCTCTGTGGTCGTTGCTAGGCATCTACAATGGTATTGCCAGATGAAGCCATGGTTTCTGTCAGTAAAAGGCAGGGGCAGGGCACTTTCCAGGACTGTTTTGTCCTTTGTGGGAGGACCTATTGGGGCTAGGCATGGCATCAACCACCAGATGACTTGCTACCACACACACACACACACAATTAGGAAGAACAGAAGAAAACAGAGAAAGAACGTGGGGATTCCCAGGAACAGGGAAAAAGGAAGTCATCTGGGAATAGTGATACAGAGGAAAACGAGTTGCCCTACACAAGTCTTTGTGGGTTTCTCACCATCTAACTGGGCTTGGCCCAGCAGCTGACACTGGACAACTTGGCTAGACTCTTCTGAGGGAGAGGCTAGGGAAGAAGGGAAAACAGAAGATTGGGGGGGGGATAAAGGTAGGTTGGCTGGTGAGTGAAAAGGTAGCAGAAAAAAGGGGAAAAGCTATGGGGGCTTTCAGGAAAGGAAAAAAGGAAATCGTGGGGGAGGGAAAATGAGATGCCCCTTGCAAGTCCTTGTGGGTCCCCCACTTGTTTCCATATATTTTGTGCATTGACATAACTTACTTCTGCTAATATTCAGAACACTGAAGCTGTATATTGGTGTTTGGAGGGATAATGTGATTCTGTTACACAAAACGGGGTCTCCTCCAGTGAAGAAAGCCATCCATCAGAGGATGTGTCCACTACAGAAAGATTTAGCAGAAGGGAGCCAATGGTTTCAATCCCATGTGATCTTCAGCAATTCCACCTGAGCCAGGCCATTCCTCTGGCTTCTGACATTTTGCCAGGCGCAGTGCGCAGTTTCCAAACTTATCATTGCCGATATAAACTGAAATTCTCAGGGTACTGAATTCTGTGAATGATCTTGGATCCTTAACACTTGTGTTATGCATTCAACACGGAAGCACAGCTGAGTACAGATGTTATTGTGTGGATGGAAAGTTGGAACAGAACGCCTCCTCAAAATGGACCACGGCTTGGATCCCTTGATGGAGATCTTTAACTTTCTAAGATTTGGGTGCATAATCAAAGGCGTACAAAAACATTTAAAACCTTTTCCTATGCCCAGAGGTCATTTCGGGGGGGAACGCGGGGGAACACAGTTCCCCCGGGTGAGGTGCAGGGGGCGGGGCACATGATGAAGCCCCGCCCCCTGCTTCCTGCCGCCCCGCTTCCAGCCCTCATTCAGCCAGGAGGAGGCAGGAGAAGAGGGAGGGTAATTTGCTTCCCCCCCGCCTCTTCCCACCCCTTGGCGGGGCTTCCTCGCACTCCCGCTGGCCTTGCAGGTCCACCGCCGGGCCCCTGATATCAGGGGGTGTGGCATATGCTAATGAGTTATGCTAATGAGTTCCCATAGCTCTTTTTCTACGAAATGACCCCTGCCTATGCCATTCCATATTCTGTGTATTCTCATACCAAAAAAATGTTTCAATTGCACTGTGATGTTTTATCCACCCTCTTGTGGTTTTTTGAAAGTATACTAAAAGGATATTGGGGTCAGTTGGACCCCAATTAAATTGAGTGGAGGAAAGCACTGCATGCTCAAAGTACTGGAGAACTAGCTGATCCGAAATCATAATGCGAGTTCACATGTAATATGACAATAACTGCTTTCGCAATACTTTCCTTTTGTTTAGCTCTCCAGGATTTAAGTTTTAATTTTAACAAATCCCTTACTGATGTCCTTTGAGTCACCACGTAGAAAATAGTAGTCAGCAACACAAATAGCAGCTTTGTGTTGTTGCAGCAGTTAAGAAAAGTGTTTCAATACTGATATGAGATTTATACCTCTGGGAAAAAAGGGGGAAATGCACATGTTGATGCAATAGTTATGTTAATACCATAGTAACAATAAGGAGAAGAACTTGAGATCTCAGTAATTTTTTAAAATTATTTTTTGTATTTGTGTGTGTGTGTCCCTGGAAGTCATGGCGACCCCTACTTGGTCATGCAGGACATTCGGAGAAGTGGCCTGATACAGCCTGCCTCTGCCTCCCAGTCCTGGTATTCCAAGAAGGTCTCCCATCCAAGTACTTGCCAGGACTGATCCTGCTTAGCTTCTGAGATCTAACAAGATCGAGCTTGCCTGGGCTACCCAGGTCAGGGCAAAATCAGTAAATTTTGATTTCTTTCTTTTTTTGGATCGGAGGAAGAGGAAGAAGACTACTACCAGGAGATCAGGACCAAATGGAAGTCTCTACCAGAAATGCCAGAGAATGTTCAATTTGCTGTTGTAGATTTTTCCGGGTTGTATGGCCGTGGTCTTGACATTGGAGGACCTGACGTTTCGCCAGTAGCTGTGACTGGCATCCTCAGAGGTATAACACAGAAAGACAGAGTACTCTCTGTGTCAAGGTGAGCTACAACAGCTAATGAACTCCGCCTGTGAAAGCCTTCGACAACATAGCGTTCAGTTTAATTAATTTTTAAAAATTATGTCCCTCTTCTTTCCAGTGGCTTAAGGTGTTATTAAAAGGAAGGACATCTGAGGTAATGTCTCCAGGATAGTGATATCTAAAGAAATATCTCCTCCAGGAGAATGAAACCCACAGGAGGGGCTGGTGGCAGAAAAGACCACCTCTGGGACAGCGATGTCAAAAGGATTTATTGTTAATATAACCCAGGGGTCGTTTGGGGCCGGAGCGCGCCAGAGCACTGCTCCGGCAGCCCAGGAGCAGACACAAATGGCGGTGGTGGCAAGCCCCGCCCCCAGCTCCCTGCCCCTTCTTTCTAGAGTCACGCCGCTATCTTTCCATTGTATTCTATGGCCCCATTGAATACAATGGAAAGATTGCGCCGCTGCTGCGTTAAACCCCTTTTCTCTTCGCTTTCCCTCCCCAGCCCACCTTGGCAGGCCGGCTGGGGAAGGGAAGGGGAGGCTTTTGAAGATGCCTCCCCTTCTGACATCACTTCCAGGGGGCATGGCATATAGTAATGAGCTATTATGCTAATAGCCTATTAGATATGCTAATGAGCTCCTGCAGCTCTTTTTCTACGAAACGACCCCTGTAATTTAAAGAATCTATATTCTATGATTTACCTGCTGTAATTTACCTGTTTAAAGGTGTTATTTCCTCTCTCAGTACACAATTACCATTATAAATTTTTGTGACAATGTTATTGTTATGTATAGTTTTATAGACCCTCCCCCAGCCTGCTCTGGACCTGGTCCCCCCAAAGAAGGGAGGGAGAGCCTGCCCAGCCAGCCCTGAGCAGTAGGTGCCCAGCCAAGCTAGTTGGGCGCATCCTTTGCTGTGGTCGAGCAGGTGCACTCCATCCCAGACAGGTGTGTCCGATCCCTCACTGCAGAGAGGCTGGGATGTGCATATATGTCCCTTTCCTTGCTGCAATGAACCCTCCTCCTCCTCATCTCCACGTTGGACCCAGCTCTCTGTTTGGGTCTGAGAGATCTGGTGTGGGTGGAGTGGCCTGAGCCGGGGGGGGGGAGCCCCCAGGCCAACAGCTTACTAGTCCTTCCCCAGTGGTCTTAATGGCCACTCTGCCCCGTAACCAGACTCTTCTACCTTCTGGAAGGCATAGAGTTAATCCAAGATGACCTTGCACTAGCAAGGATCCCGTTACTGCTCGCAATGGGAAGAGGAGAATTGCTACCCAAACAAAAATGACTGGCAAAACATTCGAAGGCTGCTAACACTGAAGGATGCAGGAAAGCAGCCAGGCCTCTGGCCACAGAATGCAACAGTAGTTGGTGAACAGGTGGACTCACCGCAGCTTGCCTGTGTGTATTGGACAGGATCCTATGGACCCTGACTTGGGTCCTGTTGGCTTCTGCTATGTTCACCCAGAGGTCCTTGGCTCGTGCTTCACTTGGACTGTAAACCCGGGATATGTAGTAGTTATGGTTGTCTTCCTGTGAAAACAAAGACCACTCGTGAAGGACACTTGCAACCTGTGTAGCTCCCTGTGACCTTAGATTCTGTGCTGCGGCCTTGCCTGGCATGAGTACAGTGCCCGACGGAAGAATAGCATTTCCCAGCAATTGCACCAGGCTATAGCATGGAATGGAATGCATATAGTAATGTGGCTCTTTTGGTAGTGGTAGTTGCAAATGTGGCTCTCTGTGAGCCACAAGTGAGTACCACTGGTTTATCGCCTTCGCCTTCAGATGTTCGGTGAAGACACTGACCCAAAAGGAGACTAGGATTGTTTCTACATGGGAATTCTCCCCCTGGGTGGAGAATAGGAACTGGAAGCCTTCTAGGGATCCCAAGTCCCCCCGGGGGGCGGGGAAACCCCCGCCCCAGAGGCCTGTTCCCCGGCGCTGCCGGATCGGGCCCCGGGGGGAACTCCTCCCCGACGTGAACGTCACCTGGAAGTGACGTGACCACGCCGAGCACGCTGGGGGTGGGGCCACGGCCATCCGAGGGAAAACTCTATGGTTTTCCCTTGTATTGCCGTGGCCTTGCCCCCAGCGTTCCCAGCATGCCTATGTCACTTCCGGGTGACGTGCATGCAGTGCGTGTGTGCGCTTTGCGCGCGCACACTGGCGAAGATAGACTTGGCAACCCTAAAGCCTTCGCATTTACAGGGAACATCCACATAACTTTGTGCTCATTCAGAGCATGACTCATCGGTTTCCCCCTTTAAACTGGATCAAAATTAAACCTATTTTATCTAGTTCAAAGGGGGAAGTGCAGGGTGGCTGTGTCCACATCTGGAGGAAGACTAGACTGAGGATTCTGCGCCTTAAAAACTTTTTCGGAGAGAGGGGTTTTGCTACACTGACAATTATTCACTGATGTTTTGATGTTGCTTCTTCTATTTATTTATTTATTCATACCCTGCCCTCCCCACCGAAGCAGGCTCAGGGCAGCTTACAAGGCCATTTGGCATCATAGAATATGATTACATTAAAATCATAAAACACATTTAATAAGTGTTACATATACGAGATGGCAAAACTGTCCTGATCGGCCACAGTGGGGTCACAACACAATATACAGCTGGTGTCTGGCTCCTTGACACATTGTTCTTCAGAGTGGGTGGAGATGTTGAACCAGGTGGCCAAAGGTGGATTATAGGGCATATGATTACCCAGTTGATATTGGGTGTTTTAGTGTGGCATCTTATTCAAATGCTTGGCGGAAGAGCTCTGTCTTTCAGACCCTGTGGAATTTTGGTAAATCCTGCAGGGCCCTGATGTCCTCCAGGAGCTCGTTCCACCAAACAGTGCCACCACTGAGAAGGCGCTGACCATAGTTGCAGGCAGGCTGACATATTTAGGACCGGGGAGAGCAAGAAGATTTTGAGATCCTGACTGCAGTACTCTCTGGGGAACATATGGGGAAAGGCGGCCCCTCAGGTATGCAGGTCCCTGGCCACATTGTCTTCCTGGTCAACATCATGCAATTATGGAGACCAGAAGTGTTACACTTTGCCAAGGCTATCAAAATGGCCAGCTTCCCAGGGTGTATGGGTTTGTGTCCTAGCCTAACCACCTTTGATATGACTCAGGAAGTGTCTCTAATGGGAGTGAAACAGGTCAGGGAGGCAATTCATGTGTGAAAAAGAAAATCATAGGAACACATACCAAGAGAATCAAACTGATTGCAGTCGCAAAAAACCAATAATTATGGTCAAACAACGGTTTGCCATACCCTCAGTGGAAACTGTGGACAGGATTCTATAGACCTTGATGCTTTCTGCTGGATAATCCAGTTTCTGATATACACTCTCTTTCTATAATTGTAGAATGAAGTTTGAGTCCAGCAGCACCTTTAAGACTAAGAAAGTTTTATTCTGGGTATAAGCTTTCACGTGCAAGCACAATTCTTCAGATATGAAAGCTTGTACCCAGAATGAAACTTTGTTGGTCTCGAAAGTGCCACTGGACTCAAACTTTGTTCTGATGCTTCAGACCAACACAGCTACCCACCTGACTCTTTCTGTGGTTGTGTTGTGCAACAAAATCCCAACCCCATTTTAAAATGCAGTGAGCACAATACAACAGAAATGACAGCTGGTGTATATGTGAATTGAGCAACACAACAAGCACACTCCACCCACACATGCATACCTCACGGTCATAATGAGTGGCAGCTGAATATCTGAACTGATTCCACGTATAATCATTGCATCTGAGGTAATAAAAAGAGTTTGTTTGGTGTTGCATTCATCAGTGGATGAATATATGTGCATGACAGCTAGATTCAAGTCCCGTAGTAGCTCCCCAGAGACCAACAAGAATTTTTGGATATAAACTTCTAACAGTCAAAGCTCTCTTTGTCAGACTTGACTCTCAAAAACGTATAACCTACATTTTTTTTTGGTCTCTGTGCTACTGGACTCAAATCTAGCTGTACTACTGCAGACCAACACAGCTACCCCCTGAAACTATATATCCATGAATGACTGATGTGTTGAAATGATGGTAGAAAAAGTGTAGGTATTTACTAGGGTTGCCAAATCCAAAGTGGCACTGGAGCGGGGGACTCCAGCGCCGCAACCACATCACCCGGAAGTGATGCGACCAGGCCAGGCACGCTGGGGGCGGGGCCACAACCATCCGAGGGGAAACCATAGAGTTTTCCCTTGGATGACCGTGGCCTCGCCCCCAACGTGCCCGACGCAATTGCGTCACCTCTGGGCGACGTGCACGTCACGTGCTTTGGGGGTGGGGTTCCCCCCAGGGCCTGATCCGCCACCGGCGAGTAATGGGCCTCTGGGGCGGGGGTTTCCTCGCCCCCCGGGGGGACTTGGCAAGCCTAGTATTTATACCCACCTTTCTCTACTTTAAGGAGTCTCAAAGTGGCTTACAATCACCTTTCAGTTCGAGTGCTGCTGGTTTGACCTTGGGTCAGTCACAAGTTCTCTCAGAGCTGTTCTCAGGCAGTTCTCAAAAGAGCACTCTCAGCCTCACTTACCTCACAGGCTATGTTCCCTCTAAGCTTTTTAGCCTCTGGCTCACACATTCTTGTCTTAGCTCAGGAAGGATGGCTCCAAAGCAAACTAATTTATGCAGCAGCCAAATACCTCACTCACAACTTTAATGCCAGTAGCTCACAACATAGTATTTTTGCTCACAAGATTCCACAGCTTAAAGGGAGCATTGCTCACAGGGTGTCTGTTGTGGAGAGGGGAAGAGGAAGGAGATTGTAAACTGCACTGAGACCGATTTCCCACAAGCTGCTGCAGCTGCTCTGGCTCTTCCCTTTGCCCCATCATACGTGTCAATTTCACACCCCACGCTCCTCAGGCTCCATCCCAAAAATCTCCAGGTATTTTCCAACCAGGAGCTGGCAACCCTAAGCAGAGTTGACAGAGCTCTACATTGCTTGCAGTGTGTACAGATATAAGTTGGTGACCTTTAACAAATTATTTAGAAATGGAGTTGCCTCACTTGATGAATTTTTGATGCATTGTACAATCTGATATGTAGCAAATGAGCTGACTGGACATTTATTTCTCTGTTGTACATGACATCTGTTATTTGTTGGTCATAAATCAGTTTTTAAAAAATCATGGGGAACCCCCCCAGAGGGGGGATACTGGCCATCACTTCTCACCAACTGAAACCTTCACCCAGGAAACGGAGTAGCCTGATTCCCCAAGCATCTTTATAGACAGTGGGTGATACTGGCCATCACTTCTCACCAACTGAAACCTTCACCCAGGAAACGGAGTAGCCTGATTCCCCAAGCATCTTTATAGACAGGCAGCAAGCCTTCCTTGCCTAGTGGAGCAACTCCATCCCCTGTGTCACACAAGAGTAATGTGGTCTTTACAGATGCCTAGAGAACAAGGAAAAAAGAACATAAGAGGAGCCCCTGCTGGATCAGACATTGTGGGCCATCTGGACCAGCATCCTCTTCTGCAGTGTCCAGCTAGCAGGTTCCCTGGAGATGTGGCACAGAAATCTCCCAGATTTCTGGGAAGGGCCAATAGACAAGGCATAAAGGCCAAGGCCTTTTCCTGATATTGCTTCATAAGAACATAAGGGAAGCCATGTTGGATAAGGCCAATGGCCCACCCAGTCCAACACTCTGTGTTACACAGTGGCCAAAACCCAGGTGCTATCTGGAGGTCTACCAGCAGGGCCAGAACCCAGAAGTCCTCCCACTGTTCCCCCCCAAAACCCCAAGAATACAGAACATCACTGCCCCAGACATAGTGCCAACTTAGTAGGGTTGCCAAGTGAATTTTACTCACCAGCGGGGGAGCCTCGCTGCGCTCCGGGAGCCGTCCCTCGTTGTGTGCGTGCGCGCGCGCCACCAGCACGTCACCGGAAGTGATGCACGATGTCGATCACGTTGAGGGCGTGGCCCATAGTTTTCCCTCCGACGATCGAGGCCACGCCCCCAACATGATCGACGTGGTTGCGTCACCTCTGGTGACGCAGCCACGCTGCGCTTCGGGGGGGCGGAGTTCCCCCCGGGGCCCGATTCCACGGCGGCAGAAATCGGGTCTCCAAAGCGGGGGTTTACCCGCCCCCCGCCCCCTACTTGGTAGCCCTACACCTTAGCAGTGATATTCAGAAGTTTACTGCCTCTGGATGTGGAGGTTCCCTGTTGTCACCACGGATAGAGAGCACCAGCTGCTTGAGGGGTGGGCAGTACAGGAGCAAGGAGAGGCAATAGTGAGGCAGAGGTTGCTCTACCCTCCCCAAATCTACTGCCTGAGGCTACCACAGACCTCATCTCACTATAGAGTCAGCCATGCTGAAGAACCAAGCCATGACCTATCACTGCCGTTGCTGCTCTGAGTTTTCCAGTGCCTTCTTAGCTGGCTGGGGGATAGGTGGAGAAAGAGAAAATCGCTTCTCCTCTAATTGAACTAGTTATACATCCCAAAGAGAGCACTTTTTAGGCTTGCGAGGTGTTGCTGGGGAATAGGACGGAAATTCTATTAATG